CAAGGCAGGGGGACGCTGGGGGCCCCATCCTGCCCAGCTCCTGGCCACTGCTCTGGGCCTGGAGCTCACGCAGGGGGCACGGGGTCTGCCGAACCCCAGGAGTATGGTGGCTGACCCCGAAGAGCGCCTTTGCCAACCCCAAATGCATCTTTGCTAACCCCAAATACATTTTATCTAAGCCCAAAGAGCATCTGCGTTATCACCAAGGAGCATCTTTGCTAACCCCAAATTGCATCTTCGCTAGCCCCTAATTGCATCTTTGCTAACCCCAAAGATCTTAATTAGCACCAAAGAGCAACTGAACCAACCCCAAAGAGCATCTTAATGCCAAAGAGCATCTTGGCTCACCCCAAATGCATCTTATTGACCCCAAAAACACCTTAACCAACCCCAAAAGCACCTTAACTGATCCCAAAAGCACCTTATTGACCCCCAAAGCACCTTAACCTACCCCCAAAGCACCTTATTGACCCCAAAACCACCTTAACTTATCCCAAAAGCACCTTAACTGATCCCAAAAGCACCTTATTGACCCCCAAAGCACCTTAACCTACCCCCAAAGCACCTTATTGACCCCAAAACCACCTTAACTTATCCCAAAAGCACCTTAACTGATCCCAAAAGCACCTTATTGACCCCCAAAGCACCTTAACCTACCCCCAAAGCACCTTATTGACCCCAAAACCACCTTAACTTATCCCAAAAGCACCTTAACTGATCCCAAAAGCACCTTATTGACCCCCAAAGCACCTTAACCTACCCCCAAAGCACCTTATTGACCCCAAAACCACCTTAACTTATCCCAAAAGCACCTTAACTGATCCCAAAAGCACCTTATTGACCCCCAAAGCACCTTAACCTACCCCCAAAGCACCTTATTGACCCCAAAACCACCTTAACTTATCCCAAAAGCACCTTAACTGATCCCAAAAGCACCTTATTGACCCCCAAAGCACCTTAACCTACCCCCAAAGCACCTTATTGACCCCAAAACCACCTTAACTTATCCCAAAAGCACCTTAACTGATCCCAAAAGCACCTTATTGACCCCCAAAGCACCTTAACCTACCCCCAAAGCACCTTATTGACCCCAAAACCACCTTAACTTATCCCAAAAGCACCTTAACTGATCCCAAAAGCACCTTATTGACCCCCAAAGCACCTTAACCTACCCCCAAAGCACCTTATTGACCCCAAAACCACCTTAACTTATCCCAAAAGCACCTTAACTGATCCCAAAAGCACCTTATTGACCCCCAAAGCACCTTAACCTACCCCCAAAGCACCTTATTGACCCCAAAACCACCTTAACTTATCCCAAAAGCACCTTAACTGATCCCAAAAGCACCTTATTGACCCCCAAAGCACCTTAACCTACCCCCAAAGCACCTTATTGACCCCAAAACCACCTTAACTTATCCCAAAAGCACCTTAACTGATCCCAAAAGCACCTTACCGACTCACCGTCTCGCCCTTCGGTCCTTGTTCGCCTTTGAAGCCTGCGATGCCGGGTTCTCCCTGGGGGATGAGAGGGTGTTGGGGACAGGGCTGCAGTGTCCCCACGGCTGTCCCCATCCCCGGTCCCTTCTCCAGGCCCTGGCCCCATCCCTGTGTCCGTCTTCTCGCTTGTCCCCATCCCTGTCCCCATTCCTGTCCCCATCCCTGTCCCCAACCCAGCCTTATCCTCAGCTTCACTCCCACCCCCATTCCCATCCCCATCCCTGTCCCCATGCCCATTACTGTCCCCATCCCTCTCCCCATTCCTGCCCCCATCCCCTCTTCTGTCCCCACCTTCATTCCCATCCCCCAGTCCTGCTCCCATCCTTGTCCCCAAGCCCATCCCCATCTTTGTCCTCACGCCATCCATCTCCTTTCCTGGGCCCATCCTCATCATCATCCCATCTTCCTGCCCCCATCCCTGTCCCTGTCCCCGTCCCTGTCCCCGTCCCCATCCCTCTTCCTCTCCCCCACTCCTGTCCTCATTCCAGACCCCAACATCAGCCCTATCCTTGTCCCCACGCCTGTCCCCATCGTCATCCTGTCATCCTTGTCCCCATCCCCTTCCTCACCTTCATCTTCATCCCAGTCCTTTTACCTGTCCCTGTCCCCAACCCC